CGGCTGGTGGCTAGGTAAACTTGGGTCGTCGTGTAAGCCAACTGCCAGCCGGAGGGTTGGGTCAAGGGACCGAGCCCCTGGTCTGCGGGGTGACGTTCGTCTTTGAACACAGGAGGATGCTTCAGACGAACGATAGCGCAAACTGGACGTGTGCTTTGTCTCATCACAACTGATCCCTAAAGGTTTGCTTGACGTCTTGCGCTAACCTTAGCGTCGTCACTGGGGGCCCGCTACCTGGCGGGTACAGGATGGATCCAGCCAGAACTCCATGGAAACCGCAACCAATTGGTGGCAAGCATGGAGGCCAATCATAAGGAGGCCAATCATAAGGAGGCCAATCATAAGGAGGCCAATCATAAGGAGGCCAATCATAAGCATGATCACATATCAGTTTACGGCCTGAATTTACAGGTCCGAATAGCAATGGCAACAGATAACCTGCGGGGGCCGATATGAACAGAGGTGTCCCGTCGGTAGTGCTAAAAATTGCCATGGAGAATTGGAGATGCAGGGGCTCTGTCGATCTCTAGCTGGTAGCAGGATACGGTGCCGCTACAGATATGGACAGCGACGCTAGTGGGTTATCAAGTCGGGTCAAGGGACAACCTTACACTAGTAATTTAGTGCCCTGCCAGGGAGCGCTTCGTTGTGCAGGTGGAGCCGACATGGAGGCTAGCGTCTCTGTGCACTACCCAAGCTGACGGGCTGGGATCGGTGGCAGAGAGTGCGAGAGTGGGAGAGAGAGCACAGCAGACCGATGGCGTTGTGCAGTTCCCAGGCACCGCATGAAAAGAATAACGCGCACTCACAACCAATGGGCCTTTACTTCAGAGGCTATTTCTCCACAACAATTCATCGCACAAACTTATTTTTATATGCAATTTAATGGGCTGCCATTTCCCCTTCCCTTTTGCTACTTTTCTAGTATTTAAATCATTCTTGTCGTGGTGTTGAGGCACTGCAATTGATTGAGTTGGTTTGGTTTGGTATTTTTTGCGGTGGTTGTGAGTGCACGTTATTCTTTTTAGGTGGTGCCAGGGTGGTGACATTGGGTGTGGTCTGTGGTGGCATCGGGCCTGTGCTGTTTGTCGCTAGCTCGGGGGTCTTGCCCGAACCAATCTAGAGGCACCACGCGACGAAGCCAAAGGCGCAGGGCAAGCGCATGGATCCAAAGTCTCAGCCCGAATCCCACGCCGACCGACCAGACACTAATGGAGGTGCCCCTCTGGCTGTCTGGCAGATCGCCGCCTGTGCTTGTGCTGGCCTTGTTGTGGCGAGCGCTGTTAGAACCGTGGCCGTGCGCCGTCTCCACGGCGGACTAGCGATCCGCAGCAGCGCGACAATTCATTTGGGCTGTCCTCTCCTATTATTACGGCCCCTCATCCCTTTCGAGTCGCTCTGTTTGGCCCAAGGCATTGTTACACAACACACACCCGACATCCTCGTCGCTCCCTGTTCGTGGTCCTACCCGTGGTGGTCCTGTAAAGGAACGACTTGCAGCCTGCCGTCGCCGTCGCCGTCACCACGCTTCTGCCACATCGCCCCGGCCAGCATTGAAACTCAATTTGGCTGGGCCACACAGGCAGACCAGCGGGGCCCCGCAAGTAGGGTCGCAAACGAACAGACGCCAGGGCTTATCCAGCAGCAACCACGACCAAGCACGAGAGCGAAAAGGGAAGGAAGGGAGGGAAAAGCTGAAAGAAGGCAAAGAGAGAAAAAAAAACCCCTTTGGATCCCCAACGCCCCGTCTAGTCCCTCCTATCGCCCCATCCGACAGCGAGCTCGGCAAACCCCTTTTCTTTTTTGGCGACGACGTGCCCGTTTCTCGCACTTGCCTCTGGCACGAATGTTCGATTTTTCTTTTTTTTGTTTCCCGCTCGCCCAAACCACGCCCGCTCGCCCAAACCACGCCCGCTCGCCCACGTCGACGTGGCTTCGACTCGTGCCTAACCGCCATTTATCGCCAGGCTGCAGCGCCCCCTCTCGGAGGGCAGCTCCGCGGCCACTCAATTCTGCCGCGACCATTTGAGCGGCCGCGTGAGCTGCAGCAGCGCCCCGGCTGAGATGCGGGCCTCCGAGGGGCAGCCGGTGAGCGCTGCCAGCAACCGCATGCCAAACCTGGGCAGCATCGCCGCGGCCGCCATCGACCACGGCAGACGCCAGAGCCTCGCCGCCGCCGTCGCTGTCGCGCCCGGGGGCAGTGGTGGGAGAGCTGGGAGCAATGCCAACAAGCTCCGCCCGCTCTTGCCGAACGTGTCCGAACGAGTTGGCAAACGGGCTCCGTCCCCCCTGACACAGCAGCTCAAGAAGAAGCGGACGACGGTGCAGGCAGCCTGCCAAAGTACGTTTGCTCCCTCGACCCGTCCCGATTATCCTCTCCCTTCTCCCTCTTTGGTCATTTCTCGCAGCCGGCAATCGACCGACGGCTCGACTCGCACCGCCCTGAAATGCTCCGCTTTTCAGACCTGTCAACTGGGCCCTTGGTCTGGGCGCCTGATCACGGGAATGGCGCGGAGGCTGATCTTGATTTCGCGTCACGAGCAACAGGCTGTCGAAAACGAAAGGTCAAGGTATGCAAAGTCTGGTGCACAAATGCACAAACACGTAAATGCAAGAGGAGTACAAAGCATGCTCCCCCGTCAACAACCATCCTCCCTCGCTGGCCAGCGCCATTCGTCAGCCAGCCGTGCTCCAGTCCTTGCGCGTCTCCCTCAGGCCGCCCTCGCACGTCGTACTGGCTGTCTGGACACGAGAGCGCACGGCCCTTGACGAGAACGGCTCTATCCGCCGGGCCACGATTGGATGGCGGAAGCCGGCCGGTCACATGTCCAAACGGGGGGAATTTTGCCGGCCGGAAGATGCACGGTGCTTCTGGCACACGTGACCTGGCCGCCGCTAGCACCGGGATGGACAAGGTCGGTTTGGATTTGTGGCTGATGTATATGAAACTAACTGCTTGCCGGCAAACCATCATGACAATAGTGCGATGGCCTCCGTCCAGTGTGCGCTCCATGCACATCTCTCGGCGCAGTGTGCGAGTACTCTGTGCCCGAGGGCCTGTCCCAGCGCGATGCCGAGCGACAGCGCATGAACCAGGTCTCCAAGTCGCACCGAGATTTGCTCACCATCCTGGACCTGCTTCGACGCGGACCAGACGCTGAAGCCGCCGAGATCCTGCGGCAGGTGAAGACCGCCGCCACCCTCGAAGACGCCGTCGCACGCATTGCCGATGCCACCCTGCTTCTTCCTGGCGGTTCTCCTGAGCAATCGCAAGGTCAGTCCTGTGCACCGAGGTTGCGTGGTGGGTGGTGCGCTAGTAGACCAAGAGCGAGGCTGACGACATTCCCTCCGACTCTAGGCACAGCCAGTCCCGAGAGCTCGACTTCGACGTGTCCATACGACAGTTGCAGACTCCCACACAACAGGCGGCTAGCATCTCCGTAAGGCTCCCCATTAACATGTGCCCACTGTTTAATGCACCGTGGTCACTGTCGCCCTTGCACCGTGTTTCAGATGTGTTTTTGCATCTGCTTAGGCGCTCGACGCCACCTAACCCTGTCACATACCATTGATGTGACGTGCGCGTGTGCAGGCCCTGCCACACGAGGTCTTTCAAGACACTAACTGTCGCCTCAACGCCAGTTTTGACCAGCCTGAACACGTATTCGAGGTTCTTTACCGTACCGGCCTCCCTGGCACCCTCTTCAGCTCGCTGGACCTATTGGCCTCGGACGTCCTCCCCGTGTCTCGCTGGGTGCCTGGATTTGAGGACGACTACCACCTCACCTATCTATTAACTCTTTTTTGGACCTGGGACAACACCTTTGCCAGTGTCGTCGACCGCGTTCTCTTTCTCGAGGACATGCGTCTGGCTGATCCCTTAGATCCGGTGCCGAACATGGATCACACCTTTTGCACACCTTTTCTCGTCCTGTGCCTCTTGACAGTCTCGTGTGTGAGTGTTGATTTCCATGTCCCTACCACGATTGCGCGCGTCACATCTCTATCAAGTACACGATGGTAATATCAAGAACCGGTGGAAATGTTGTTGGAGTCGAGTCGAGTCCTAGGGGATAGGGCATCCTGAGCTTGTATACTGATTGATGGATACATCAGCTTTATTCAACACACCCCAAAATATACAGCGTCCCGGGTGACCATTCCAGCCGTGGATTGAAGTTCGCCCGCGCCGCCAAGCGCATCCTCGAAGACGAACGTAGACGACCGTCAATCACGATGCTGCAGGGCATCACTCTTCTGTGGCTATACGAAGGCAGCGCTGGGGATGCACGGCAGGCCGAAAGGTACATGTGGGAGATGGTGGATCTCTATTTCCAACTCGGCCTTCACCGGCGGACAGAGCCTGACAACTGCCCGGGATGGAACTCAAGAATGGGCAGGGAGCTCCAGGCAATATCCTACATTGTCTGGGGTATATTCTCCTTCAATGCGTAAGTCAACTCGCTCTCTTCATCCCATCCAGCCGCATCCTCAGGTCCTGGGCTCCTATCTCGGCCCGGCTGTACTGAGGCTCTTCGCCATGGTCAGTTGCCCTTGCTGACAATGCATGGCATTGCGGATACCATCAACAGGAAAATCGCCGTCAACTTCGAATATCGCTTTTATATCCCTCGCCCAAGGTTTAAGAAGTTGTTTGACAACCCTCTCTCCTACCTGGCGCGATCCGACTCGCCCACAGCGAACTGGTGTGCGTATCCGGTAGATTGCCGGTTCCAGCCATCGCACCACCGAGAGGTCTTTGTTGCACATTGTACCTTGGCTGAGCTTGCAGAAGAGCTTATGGACCTGATCGGCCGCTCGCGCGACCAGGTGCCCGAGATCGACAAGGACACCCGGCTAGCGTTGGAGGGTGTTTACAATGGCTTGATCCGCTGGAGGGCCGAGCTGCCTGACCACTTGCAGCCGAACAACTCGACGTTGCCATCGGTCCTGTCACTGCAGTCAGTCCCTCACTGCTTCTTTTCTATTCTTGTGATTTCTGCCCTGGCCATCTCAGAACTGACTGTATGGCCTGCCCGTTGTTTGCATCTGCCAACCCGAACAATAGTGCAACGTACGAGCTCATCATGATCCGACTGCTGGGCCCGCTGGCGGCCAAATTCCCCAAGGAGCGATTCGGCGGCTCAACGGCGGGCGCACTCAAAAACTCGAGCAGTTTCTCCATGATCAACACGGTCTGGACTTTTCGGGCGCACTACACGCTTAAGCACGAGTACTGGTTGACGCAGGTCTGCGCGGCGGCGGCCATGTCGGTGCTGTTCAACCTCGACGACGGCTGCGCCGACGTCTTTGTGCGCGCCTGCCAGGCCTTGCACGAGACGGGCGAGTTTGTGCGCATGGCCAACAAGAACCTGACGGTCATCCAGCAACTCATCGATCGCTACCGCATCCGGCTACCCCAGGTCGGGCGCACGGTCGAGACAAGGTACTTTGTGGCGCTCCGGAACCGCCAGTCGACGGCCTACAGCGACGGCACCCGCGTCCTCATGTACGTCCCGACGCAGGAAGGTGGCGGGGGCTGCAAGGTCGACAACATTCAGGTAGGCATGCTCATCGCGCCAACCGAGACCCTATCCCTCACTGTCGATTGAGCTTGGGCGACACGAGACAAAACGGCGGAAGTTTTGGCTACAAAAGGGCGCATTCTGGATCACAGTGCCACGCTCGGTTAGAAATAACATTTTCTATATCTTTTGTCTTGTGCGCCGATTTGTACTATCTGCTTTTGCGTCTCTCGAGCGAACGTTTTTTTTTTCCTTCCTCTCCCTTTTCCTCGATCCCGTCGCATGTGTGTCCTGATATAGAAACAGGCGTATCGGGACAGTTGGCTGACTTTCCCTATGCGCTTTACAGGATGAGATTTCTGTCGCTTCTGCAAGGCCAGTTGCATGTTTTCGCCCGTTGGCTTTGGTTACAGGACGGGGTGCTTTTGCGTTATGACACAACGGGGGGGCGTTTGGGGTCTACGGGGGGTCTGGTCTTGGAGAGGGTGGGCGGGATGGGTCATAGTGGCGCATCCATGGGCCTGATATGCAAAAAGCTAGAAGGCTCACCGAGTTATTGCTGATGAAGTAAGCTTCCGTCCCGACGCCGAAGGAGCCAATATAAACAGAAAGTCACTTCGATTTGATGCCTTGCCTACAAGCGGCCCTCGTCCGATATTTCTAAGAACCCCGACCCAAATGTATGACATGGAAATACCCTTGACACGTAGTACATAGCCCGCGGACCGTTACGCGGGCGCGGACCAGCGCAGGTTAATCTGCTTCCTCCGAACCTGAAAAATGGCGGAGACACATGTGATGTCAGTCAAGTTGCAAAAGTCTAGCAAGGAGAGGCGGGGGGAGGCATATGATGGGGAGGGTGGAAACGAGAGAAGCAAGAAAAAAAAAAAAAACGTACCATGGGTCCAAGCGCAGCAACGCCGGCGCTCAGGGCCAGCACGGTGCCGACGAGGCTGACCTTGCTGAAGCCCTTGCCGAGAATATCAAAAACAAAACTAGGCGCCACGCGCGTGACGTAGACGTCGACGCCGAAGGCGAGCACCAGGCACGTGCTCTCAACGACGGCGGGGGCCGTGATGATGACGTTCCTTGTCCTCTGGCGGGGGCTCCCCGACGACGAAGGCAGCAGGAGGTCGAGCTCGTGGGAGACGACAAACTTGGGATCGACCTCGACGGCGGGCGCGTAGCGGGCGAGCCCCTCCTCAGCCTCGTGGGCGGTGGGGTCGCGGCCGACGGGGCGGCGGGGCTCGAGGACGGCGCGGTGCAGGGCGGCGAGCTGGCGGGACTCGGGCAGGTAGGCGAGGATCTGGCGGCTCGAGACGCCCTGGCGGGTGGTGGTGACGGCCAGGGCGGCGGCGGGGCCCGCGGCTAGGACCCAGGTCTGCGAGGCGACGTGGGGCAGCAGGCTGGCGGCGCCGCCGGAAGCCGTCGGGTCCTCGAGGGGCGCGACGGGGGAGAAGTTGGCCGCGGCGCCGGGACTCGGGTCGCCGAGGGCGCCGCGGTCGTTTGCGAACTCGGACTCGTACAGGTCCGTCACGGTCACGAGGTGGCCCTTGACCGACTGCGACGGGTCCTCCTGCAGGGCGTAGTCGCCAAAGAAGGAGCAGGCAAAGAAGTTCTCCGACATGGCGCACGTCACGGGTCGCCCTACGTCGACGCCCGTGTACACCGCCGACGACAGGAGCTCGCCCGAGACCGTGTCCAAGAGATACGTCGTCAGGGTCGAGGCCGAGGCGTCGGCTGCCGCCACAAGCAGCGTGTTCTTGTTCAGGTACTTGTACTTGACAGTTCTGTCACCGAGTACGCGGCCGATGGAGGCGACGGGGTCGTGGGCCGGCCTCGCTGTCATCTCGACAATGACCTGGCCGGGAGCTGGCCTGAAAGTCCATGTGACGATAGGCTCGCTGGTCTTGGCGTTGCCGGCGGGCATGTACTTGACGCCCCGCAGCTCGTCGCCAACCCGGATGACCACGGTCTGCTTGGGGGCCAGCTCTGCGGAGAGCGGGCCCATCTCGCCGTCCTTGGGAATGGGGAGCAGCCAGGGGCCCGACGCGCTATCAACGAGTGCCGTGCTCTGCACCTCGGACGCCTGGCCAGGCAGCTCCGACTCGACTATATCGCCAGAGTCCGTCTTGAGCGCGACGAGCTCGCCGTCGCTGGCGCGGATCGCAACAGTGCCCTTGGAGTCGTCGACGTACATGCCCTTGATCTCCCAGCCGGCCACGCTGCTACCAGGGAAGGCCTTGCGGTTCCAGAGCACCTGGCCGCGGTTGCCCGCATTCAAGCCGTAGACCCTCCCGCGCCTTGTGGCGAGCACCACTATCTTGTTGAAGCCAAAGCCGTCGCGCACCAGAGAGCCGCTCGTAGAAGGCTCGGTGCCAAAGACGCTGCCGAGGATACGGGTGGGCAGCTGGGCGAGCCAGTCGGGCAGGTGCTCCAGGTCGGCAGCGTGACGCCGGGCCCTGTGAAGGTAGGCCTCGATAGGGTTGCTGTGGGCCTCGGCCTCGAGAGTTTTGGCCAGCGACTCCGACTCGGGAATCTCGGCCCAGGCGCCCGCGACAGCGCCGCTGAGCCCCTCGGGCCTGACCCAGCCGAGGTCCCCATTGCGCGCCAGAACCCAGTTCTCGTGCGCGGTGAGGGTGGCTGCCCTGACGGCATAGCTGTCGCTATTCTTCTTGACCACCTCGGCTACGGCATGGCTCACGTCGACCACCTCGTCGACGCCGGCGTTGGGTGAGAACTTGAAGGGCCAGCGCCCAAGAACCGCGTTCGAGGTGGAGGCGACGAGGATCAGCTCGCTCTGGGTGACGCGGGTGAAGTACACATTGGCGCCGACGGAGCTCGTGGCGATGGCACCGGTGCCGGCGAGGAGGGGCAGGTCGTAGGCCTTGGAGACGGCGCTGGTCTTGAGGTCGATGTGGAAGACGGTAGCGGCGTTGGCGTCGCGGGTGCGCATATGGACAAGGAAGTGAGGGTCCGACTGGACCAGGTGCGGGGCGTGGATGTCGACCGTCTGAGTACCAGCGATCAGGGGGAACTCATGCTTAGCCTTGTTGCCCAGCACATTTACATGGAGCGTCTTGCGGTCGCTGTCGACCCAGGCGAGTATGGGCATGGCCGAGTTGGCGCCGACAAACATGACGTCCTGCTCGCCCACAATATCTCCCTTGCCGGCCGAGATGAGGATCTCGTCCATGCGGCGGCCAGTGGGGGTGTCGAGGACCGTAACCTTGAGGCCGTAGGCGCCGGGCACGCCGTGGAGACTGACCACAAAGACCTTGTCGACGCTGTTGCTGACCTGCAGCGGCACGTCCTTGCTGACGTCCCGAAAGTCCCAGACCACGGTGCCCTCGGTCCCGTGCAGGCGCCTCAGGGTGGTGACGTGGCCGCCGGCGCCCTCGTCCTCCTCGCTGGACAGGGCCAGCAGGTCCTTGCGGCCGTCGGCGGGGGCGGCCATCTCCATTACCTCGAGGTCGCGCACATGGCCGGGGAAGTCGGCGGACCAGACGTTGCGGCCGCCGGCGGCGTCCCAGGTGCTGACCGAGGGGCCCGAGGCGCTGGCGATCCAGCTCTCGCCGTCGGCGGCGCGGAGGTGTGCGGCGGCGGCTGCGGCGGTGTCGTCGGAGCGGGCGGCGAGGACCTGCTGGCGCCAGAGGACGGCGCCGGTGGTCGGGTTCACGGCGCCGAGGATGCCAAGGTCGGAGAGGGTGTAGAGCAGCGAGGCCTTGTCGTCGCGGCGGGGGCGGTGGAAGAAGGTGGTGTGCTGTTGCGGCAGGCCGACGAGGGCGTGGTGGAAGTCGACGTCGCCGACCTCATCGAGGAAGACGGCCAGCGCCGGCAGGGCCGATGCGAGTATTGTGAAGAGTGGCCGCATCTTGAGGGGTTCATGCCACGACCGTCGCGGTTGCGTCGTCGAGCTTCTGCGGCGCCAGCTCCAGCTCCCACAATGACGCCAGCTGTCGGGAGCAGAATTGTCCTGGTCCGCTTTTCTGTGGGGCGGATTGCATGTTTTTGGCGATTCGAGGGAAGCTTATCTGGGGACAGGCAACACAACACGCACGCTAAGTCCCGCCAACGTTCCTTCAACTTCTCCTCCAGTCTGGATCTATCTACTTCTAACCGGCTTACTGGTAAAGTCTGGAAGTCTTGGGAAATACGAGCAGACTGTAGACTATTCAATGTTTGGGGATGCACCGTAAATTTAATTGCATTTACCGGCTGCCCCACAGTTTCTTTTATCTGTAGTCGCTCTGATGAGCAAGCCCAATCCCTTGTGCCCTATCACGGGCAGCCTTCTCTTTGCGCAACAACTCGACTGCACGGATTCCGATGGCATGCGGATGTAGCCGACCCTCCAATACAATGGCCGTGGCCCTGCTCAGGCAGCAGTTATCTTTCGACCCAACACACAATCTCGACCGCCCTCCGACAAACGCTGGGCTGCCATCAGTGTTTCCGCACTTTCTGCTTGTAGCTATCCGTCCCTTCGTGGACAAGAAATCCGGACCTGTCTTGGACATAATACCCCAGCCAAGGAGTGGTTGAGGATGTTGCTGTTTCGCTCTTTGGCCACACGCGTGGTGATACTGGTAAACTTACGCGCTGTCCTTCCTGGCTCTTGGCAGCTCGCTCGCGTTTCACAGTCTCTAACCACCATCTCCACACCACATTGATAGATATTTTGCACCGCTGTGGCAAGCCTCGAGCAGCAAAAAGTCGATGTCTTTGGCGGTTTCTTCGCCCGGGTCACTGCCGATGTTGGCGGCTTCCTCGACAAGGCCGTCTTGCCTGAGATCAACAAAGGCGTCTACTTCTTGAAGACCAAAGCCGCGCCCGAGATGGCCAAAGCTGTGTCGGACGGCGCCGACTTCATCCAGGACAAGGTCAACCCCGAGATCGACAAGGCCTTTGCCTTTGTCGACAAGCAGATCTTACCTCAGGTGGGCAAGGTCGCGTCTGAAGGCCTGGCTGCTGTCCATGGCGCGCTGCCGCCCGGCGTGCAAAAGGCGCTTGCCGACGCGGCAACCTTTGTCGAGGATGGGGTCGTGCCGGAGCTGGAGAAGGCCGCCTCCGCCGGCATCGGCTTTGTCGAGCAATACGTCGCCCCCGAGATCGAAAAGGCCGTCAAGTTTGCAGAGGAGAACATGGCGCCCGTGGTCGGAAAGACGATCGCGGACGCCGCCGACCTCGTATACGACAACCTCCCTCTCGAGGTCCAGGCGGCGCTGACAGACGTCGCGGCCTTCTTGGAGGCCAACGTCGCCCCGGAGCTCGAAAAGGTGATCCAGTGGGCCATAGACAACCCGACCGCCGCCGGCAGCATCGGCTTTGCGGCCTCCTCGGTCATGTTCCCCGGCTGGCTCACGGGCCTGGCGCTCACTGCCTCAGGCTTCCGCCCCCACGTCGGCAAAGGTGAGCCTCGCTTCCGCTAACCTGACACCTGACGGCGGTGGAATAGCTTACTGACATTATGATGGCAACCAGGGTCCCTTGCGGCCAACTGGCAGTCGTCCTTCCCCTATGTGCCTGCCGGCAGCCGTTTCGCGGAATATCAGAGCGCAGGGGCGGGAGGGTATGGCGAGCGTATCGTCCAGCGGAAGGCGCGGGGTCTCGGTGCTGCCATCCTTGCCACCCAAATACTGCACCATCGCCATCATCTTGTTGGCTTGGCTCGGTCTTTTGTTGATTCCATTCTCTACTGCCATCTTGGAGAGTACCCTGCGCTTCGGGACGTCTGTGTCCCCTGTAATTCCCCACTACTCTTGTTTCCTCTGGCGGATGTATTTTGCAGCGCGACGTAAGCGAGACAGGTAGGCGGAACGGACTCGGTTCCATCGCGCGCGTCTTCACCATCATGAGGCTCCACAAGATGGAGGATGAGGCTCCCACAGGAGGGAGGCCACAGCGACGTCCTGCGCGCATGGACATGCCAGGAACGGGTCAAAAGCTAAATTCCCATGGCCCAAAAATAGATGGCAGACCACCTGGGGACAACAGATAGCGCAGGCATGAATCGAACGAGTCGGGACGATCTCCTGGGCCCCACGATGCCCCATGCTCACTCCTGCACAGCGATTGACGTGATATTCTCCGGCCTGCAAAAAGGGGGAAGCAAGTGCCACCCACAGCCACACCCAAGACCCGCAGGAGTCCTAAATTTACCCATCCGAAGTCCATCGTCCCAAGTTTTACCGCTGACCACACTACGACGCTTGGAAAGACAAGCATTTACCCCGCCCAAGATGGTGGCTTTATCAATCAAGTAGGCGGTAGGAAAGGGTCAGGATCACACCGCGTCCCTGCCAAGCCTCCTCTGCCGAAGCTCCCCTGCCAAGCCTCCCAGTCCCTTGGTTCGACATCCATCGTAAGAGGAAATAGCCTTGTTGCCGTGTCCAGCCATCAATGATAAATCAGCTTCGATATCTCCTCTTTTTCCTTTTCTCCCCTCACCCTCCATCCTCACCCTCTCTTCCAACAGCTTGAGCAATTCTGCCAACGCTTAATACCTTTTCCTTCTATCTCTACCACCACCACCACCACTCCAACCCTAATACCATTCCTTAGCTTCCGCTTCGGACCAAAACCGTCAACATGCGCTTCACCACCAGCTTCCTCACCGGCGCCGTCGTCGCCCTCTACGCCACCCAGGTCGCCGCCGCCCCCGTATCCAGGGGCCCGCTGGCAGCTCGCTCGCCCCTGCCCCCGACAATGGACCTGGCCTCCGCCACCCGCAACAGGCTCCCAGTCTCACAAATGGGCGAGGACTGCAAGGCTGAGGCCGTCGAAGGCTGCGGCGGCGACGCCTCAAAGGCCAACGACAAGAACTACTTCAAGTGCATGTCCATCAAGCGCGAGGCTGAAGCCGCTCCCGCCGAGGAGGCTGCGGATGAGGCATCCGAGGAGACGTCCGAGGCTGCCGAGGACGAGGAGGCCGACCAGGAGGATGCCGAGTACAAGACCGAGGCGACCGAGAGCTGTGGCGATGCCTCCAAGGCCAGCGACCAGGACTACTTCAAGTGCATGTCGGTCAAGCGCAGCGCCGCCCGGGACGAGGCGCCTGTCGTCCCCGAGACGCGCAACAGGCTGCCCGTCTCCCAGATGGGTGACGACTACTAGGCTGAGGCTACCGAGAGCTGTGGCGACGCCTCCAAGTCCGACGACAAGGAGTACTTCAAGTGCATGGCCGTCGGTGCTTGAGCGGCTGTGACGGGCAGCATTGTTTTTTTTTTTTTCTCTTTTCCCCATATCTTTTTTTATTCCGCGGGACATTCTTCTTTCTTCTTTTCCCTTGCATAGCGGGTGGTTTTCCTTTCGGCATTTTAGGCGTTTCGACTCTCTTCGTCTTTTTCTCTTCTTCGGCTGTTTCCGCCGCTACGGAGCCCACCACTCAATTTCCCCTGTTTTCTTTTTCCTTCCTACCTCATCTCCATTTGTACCTATTTAGGCCAGTTACTGCCTGATCCTGACGAGCTTTATGCATCGCATGCGGGGATACCTTTTTACTACATTACTTTCTACTTAGATATTCACACCTGTACATATATCACTTCAGCCGCACATTTTTTGACGCCCTTGCGTTTCCAACGTATCGTCACATTGACCTTCGTAGCTTGGCCTTCTAGAATGATCATATGTCCTGCTCGTCGCCAGGTGATGTTGATTTTTAGCCGGTTCTCGGACCACATCGAAATAAGGCGTGTGGACTGGTTGGCCTACATTCTAGTATTGGCTTTCCAGAACCATCCTGCTGCCTCCCCTATACAGTAGAACACCCCAGTACTATCATATAAGTACGCAGCCAGCAGAGAAAGTAGATGCTCGCTTTCGTGCGCCTTTGTTTGCTGGTCTGCATTCTAGAATAGTTTGGAATGACTTTAGGCAGCCACTTGGAAGTCTGGTCCGGATTGACGACGGTGCTTTTCTTCAGTCATTTATCTTCGCAACACTCTAAATCTTTTCTACTCTGCAGCATCCGGCAATCCTTTCACCCAACCGCCACTCCATCACAACCTCAACACGTCACAACGCAAGATGCGGACCCAGGCCCTCCCCGGCCTTCTTCTCGCTGGCATCTGCTTTCTGGGCGCCTGTCAACCCTCAACCACATCCAGGCAGTCATGAAGCACGTCGGCAAGCTGGCAGAACCGAGGCGTCGACACCCACGCAGACCTGGGGGACGGAAGCTATCTTGCTAAAGACTCCCGACATTCCGACTGGGACTCCCAGGCCTCCTCAGCGGCCCCGGCAGCACCGGGCTTCGGCTCTTGGCTCCCAAACCTCGGCTCCCTGATACCCCAAGGCCCGATTTCTGATGCCGAGATCGTGAGCTTGCTGCCGCCGCCCCTCGGCAACGACGAACCCTCTGACGAAGGCCAGCAAGATGATTGGACAAGGCGCCACAAGCGAGCCTGGGAGCTCTACCACTACCTCGCAAGCTGGGCAGCTGGGCACAGTCGCCAGGGGATGGGCATCCTGCTAAGATTTATCGAGATAATTTATCCAAGCTTCTTCACCAAGGCAACCCTCCTCTGGTTTGTTTTTAGTCCTGCTGGTGTCGCTGCAGGTATGTAGCCGCTCTCCTTCCCCCCCTGCGCGTTTGCGACTCTTCACGTAGCTTCGCAATGTTTTACCCGCTGACCGCTAGCCCCTTTACGACCAGAATCGCTACCCGCATGGGTCCAATCCATCGTGGGGGAAGTTTTCCGCCGTACCCTTCGTGCCTTCGTACAGAGGGCGGCGGAAGGCGGCTACGGCGCCCCTCATGTCATATCCCTGGTTCGAGCGCTCTGGCAGTCGTCTCTCGTGCACGACATGCTGAAGCATTTCCGCATGGACGCGGCTGATCTAGAAGCGCTGCTCACCGTATTTCTCAACCGCTGGGTGGGATGCGATGTGTTTAGCAAACTTGAGTGTGGGACGTATTGCGTTGACTGCAACGCCCTGGCTGTCTCGCCGGGAACAACCTGCTTGGACAAGCTGTAGGATCGGGATAACAAGGGGGCACAATGGGCTCCAAAGTCACTTGAGGAACCATTTGGCTGACGGAAGACATGTTATCGAGGCTGTCTTCGTCCTGACAAGTCCTGGGCCAGGCTAGGCGATCCGAAAATAGAGATAGGCACAAATGTAGCACATGTATCCATGTCCTGGTCTTTCCAAGGTGCATTTCGGATCCCAGGCTTGTCTGTACACACCCGCAGAACCGTAGAGCCATCCGATACTCTTACAACATCCGACAGCTCCTTTTCCCAAGTCACCGAAACTTCGCAGCACTTGCCAAAGCTGCGCTTTTTTTCAGCCTGGCCCCAGCAGTGCATCAAGGTGCATGTTTTCATGCCGAAATGTGCGTCAAGGAGTGCGTTGTCCACGCATCGTACAGAATTTTTGTGCACGTTGCCTTTTACCAGTGTGCCAGTTTCAATCTAGAGAAAATTTTAGCTTGGAATCGCGAGATGGCATTGAAATCGATGGCGTCTGTCTATCGGAACCCACGCCTGCCAAGATGAAGGCAACCAATAATGGGAGGATCCCCGAACGGGTGCGGGCGTTGGGCCCGGCTCCGCGAACGCAAATGAGGGGCTTGCCTTCCGAATGAGGCAGCAATCTTACGGTATCACAGGTGGAAGCATCGGATCAAACCCGCCGGCACACCGCCCATTGAGCATTGCTTCTGCAGGCGGCAGCTAACCCACTCTGTATCGGAAGCCTAACCACTAACAAACGCTCCCTCCAGCAACCAAGTCGTCGGCGGCTTCCGGTTAGGGCAAAAAAGAAGCAAGTCAGGCAGGCTGAGGTTGCCTTGATGCCTCGGGCGACAAGTTGTTTGGTGACTATTACGACTCGGGTTGGGCATCGTAGGGTAGGGTGGGTAGTCGCTACACCACTGTAGGTGGGTTGCCGTAGGGTGGCCCACAAGTGGGGGTAAGGGACATCGAGGGAGGGATTGGCGTCAAATAGGTATGGTTGGCCGACGTAATGCAGTGCCCATCGTTTTTGCTCGTGAGAAGGGGTCACTGGCCAAGGGACGGGCGGGATTTGGATTCGAGAGATTTGCGTGAGTATGCTGCTGGTGGTACCAAGATGGCGGAGCCCGCGCTTGGTCGCCAATATATAGGCACACGAGCTGGGGCCCGAGCGTATGCGGCTCTTCTCCCCCGTCTGACATGCTGCGCTCGGGTATGATTTCGAGTTACACGAGCTGCGGCGCTTCGGCGCCTAGCAGTGGATGCCGCCGAGCCTCCGGCAGGAGGGAGGGGTTTTTCGATGCCTCGCCATGTGCGCCCGTTCCACCAGAGGTGGTGCACCATATAGAAGCCCAAAGCAGTCTCATGCATGTGTTTGGGCAGGGCGTATCCTCGCATGTGGTAGTCCCAGTCACGCCCGACGCGAATAGCCTTAAACACGGTCTCGCGGAAGGATCAGCAGCACTACGTCGGGCTCCGTTGACATGTCGTGGACCAATGGGCCTGAAGGCGGCATCAAAAAAGCACTTCAAGATAACAAAACCTTGGCTTCCACCGTGTGATCTCCCAGCCTCTGACGAAAGACATGCAGCCATGGAGCAGTCCGGGCTCGATTAGCGGTTGCCTTCTTTTTTCCCCGCACATACAGGAGAGGAGGGTGTTTGTTTAGCAGGGTGGGGTCCATCGAGGGCAGGCGTGCACTCGTCGCCCGCAAGATAAAGCGCCCAGCCTGTCCAGTGGAAGGAGGAGTCGATGTCGTCAAACAGGCTGTCTGGTCAATAAACCGTCATGGATGCAACACAACACACAGCTAAAACAAAACTTGAAGACACTTGACAGTGACCGATCAATCAGGTAACACACGTGTGCACTTGATTGGTGCACGAGGGTGCATTATGACGCTTCCAGAACTTATGGTAGGCAACCGCTAAAGCGATGATGGTGTAGTGGCAAGCAACCATGTGGGTGACGCGAGGCCGCGGGGTAGTTGATCAAAACAGGCTTTGCGCGATGGGTCGGTAACACTGGAGGAGCTCAAAGTGTGTGTGGCAGAGGACGTGGGCATTGAAATTAAACCTATTCCTGCCGGGCAAACCCCAGAAACCTCCAGACCAGCTGGTATGACGCAAGGGGAAAGTGATTAGGTCGTAGGAGTACACATTATGGATTGTGGGGGGGATGGGATTGTGGTTGCTTTTTGTTCCTTCCTTTTCTTTCTTGGGCGCGTGACAGAGGCGTGATTTGGGGGTTTGTGCTGCGGGCGACCAGCGACCGGGGAGAAAAGAGGGGGGAAGTGGAAGTCATAAATCGCAAAGAAACGAGTACAAGTACAAGAAACCCGAAGCCGGGGGCAAACCGCCGGCGGCCATCCCTCTAGCGATAAGAGAAAGAAGGGCAGGGCTGACGACTAACCGCGGCCTTGAGCGCAGAGTTCCCCTGGTTTCCTGGAAGATATCCAGCTCTCCCACCACGGAGATCTCGCGCGCGCGTTTGTGAGCACGATTGGCATCAGAGGCTCTTACTGTGGGGGTACCCGACAATGTCTGGAAATTGTATATCGAGGTCGTGATCCTCGACCTCGACCTCGACCTCGACCTCAAGCGTATGTTGGTACATGCCGCCATCCGGCGGCGGGGTGTGGCTGCCCATTATGAGGTTACCGGCGTCCTGGACGAGCCTGTTGCGGTCGTCCCTAGCGCGCGTGAGCTCCAAAGGCCTCGCAAAGGTGCTGAAGGGAGGCAACGACTGCGTCGAGGCGGCGCCGTACCCGTTCATCCGATCCCACAGCTGCTCCGCGATGGGGGATTCAGGAACCCGCGACAAGGATAGCGGGCGGACCTGAGCGCCAGTCCAGTCTCGAGAGTTGTGCCTTGATCTTTTGAGAGTGGGGACAAATTAGCTTGGGCGGGCCGCTGAACGAGGCGAGCGCGGGGCTAGCTCCCGCTATTTTAGTGACTTACCCGTGCGCAGACCCTTGGGCGGCTGTCATGGACACTCTGTTTAGCGTGGCAGAGTCCATAACCTCTTCCGCTGTCGGGACGTATGCATCATGCGTGTAATCAGACACGGAGGAGCGGTCGCCTCGGTACGTAGCCTGTGGAGCAGCATAGTACTCTTCGTGGTGAGAGGAGACGGTGGTTGGGGTCAGGGTAGACGGTGTGATTTGCGGGTGGGCTGCAGCAGGCGTGGCAAACTGGCCCGCGGACTCGGGATTCGGATAGTAGGATGGCGGCTCGTAATACGTCGAGAGACTACTTGTCAAGGCGTGTATCAGTAATAGGCACAGCAACCCCCATGAGTGTGGGAACAAGAGGGGTTGGAATAAGTAACGCACTTATCCGTGTGCTGGTACTCGCGTCTGTCCCGATCCGAGATGGAAGGCCCGGCAGGCCGGAGACCCCTGACCTTCTTCCGGCAGCCCTCCCCTGGCTGGCTCGCGGCTCGCTTCCCGTTTCCCATCGCGTATCGGGGTTCCGTGCTAATTAGTGACAAAGGTATTACAATAGTAGAATGGAAAGAGCAAAGCAAGAAACGGCGTCCTTGCGCTCGTCGACAGTAGAATAACGGTGAATGAGCGACTCGGAATTGGATTAGGTATGGAAACCATGAAGACAGGGCCATCTCCTCGAGAGGCTGTGGACGATGAGTCCTTATTTATAACATCTCTAGACCACCACATTAGGGGCCGGTTGTGGCTTCACAAGCCGAACACCCACCACAACACGCGCCCGATAATATTTTAGGGCCAGAGATGAGATTGTTTTTTCTTCTTTTTCCCTGGGGGATAGATGCGACCACCACATGGCGGCGCGGCCTGCGGGCCACCATCTGGGCCAAGAGCCGGAGGATCACGCAAGGCGGCCGTCAGGGCGGAGGCAAATTTACGTCGACCAGGTTGTTGGGACCACGCTAATGAATGCAGGGGCAAATGGTGTCGAGATGGAAACAGTCTACAGCTAGTAAGCAAGATAACCGGTGGGAATTGCGGCCGACTGGGAGGATTTTTTTGGCGGGGAGGCCAACAGGCTGGATATCGACGCCTGCAGGAACAGGCGCCTTGTTGACATATCGTCTCAGATTAAATTGACAAGCTTAGATACCCGAGACGCCCCCAATCCAGGATGGATCCAGGATGGTGATGGTGGCAGGGACGATTACGAGCGAGGTCTGGATAGGCTATGGTTGAAGCCATTGGCACGCTCGTCGATCGGCCTCCTTTTGCTCGCATCGTCGGGCAGTTTTTTGTCACCGGCCGAGCCCAAGGCGACCAAGGCGACCGCGTTGACAAAGAAACTGAGGGACGGCCGCAGGAGCCTAGATGAGCAAGGTAGTGGAATGGGCGGTCGATTATCGGCATGATGATTGATTTCTCCAAGCTGATTGAACGATGAACGCCGGCCATGTGCGCGGCATCTCTAGCGTAGGTTGCGCGGAGGCAGGAAGGCCACCCGCACCACTCGGCAGGTGCTCACTGGGCTGAAATTCGCCACCTGCCAACCCTCATTAGGGCTAAAGCTGGGGGCGGACAGGCAGGATTGAGGCCAACGACAGGCCCAGGACCCAGGAAGGGCCCTGAGCCCCTGCAGCACTGCAGCAGCCGACGCCTGCAACATGGACGCGAATGGAGTGCTGGCGATGTTTGGGATGTTCGACCGACCGACGGACCAGGCACTCGCTTTTTCGAGCCAGGTTAGAGCATGACGAGCAGGCCAACAAGCGGTGCGGAGACGGTTTGAACTGCGGCTTGGCTAGGAATGGATGGGACGATTGTCGGATGGGGGTACTGCTGCTTTTTCCCGGCCATCTCAAATTTCGGCTTCAATGGATTGCCATCTGCCGGGTCGACTTTGCGCCCACAACTCCCGATCCCCCTGACCTGGGCCCCGACGTTTCTAGAACTCCTCTCGAGTTCCACAGCAGATCGAACCGCCCAGCCATTTTCTCTCCGAATGCCCCTGCCACTGCGTAAAGGGCACATCGTGCCCATCTCCCGTATCCACCGCAGCATTGCATTTTTACGTAAAATCCTCAACTTGAGCCGCACTTCATGGGGAAAATGGACTCCATCATGAAACCGTTTTCGTCTAAGGAGATTTGAGGCCAGGGACCGCGACCTGGTTCAGGAGACCCGCGCAACATGCAGCAACGATGGATGCCGCACGGACACAATCGAGTTCAGAATTTGCAGGATTTTGACTGTTCTGTCGCCCAGAGCCCGGCTCCCAGCCTTGCTTACCAAGTGGCCTCCTTTTTGGCCATTCCAAATACATGTCCGTCCATGTCCAGCGACCTGACAGTGGGCCGGCTGAAGTGCTGAAACGGAGGGGCATGATGTGCAGCTTTAATGTTGCCTCAAAACATCCCTTGAAGCTTGTCACAATGCTTGCAATAGCACAGTGTAAACACACTGGCTGATCAACTGTGCATGGCGGTTGCCTCACTATGTACTACAGCCATCAATTGACAGGTTTTGCAGACAGACGAGATGGCCAATTTCCCACATGCGGCTAGCGTAAGCCGATCTGGATTCTCACCGAGGAAGTGCAGCTTCCAAGCTCCCTGGTCAAAAGTTGGGCCTCGGGGGCCAAAAGGACCATAGCTTCTCAACCAATCATGCCAAACCGCATATGCATGAGGCCTCTCAAGCAGCCCTTCTCGGGACACGGGATTATTTCGTCGCCGAATTTGTACTTATGTTGAGAAAGGGTGTGGGAAATGATGCGGTGTGGTAGTCAGGCTAGAGTGATGCACATTGCACTCCGAACAAGTGATTCTCGGATTTCCTGATTTTGACATGACGGCATGTCAGCTCCTGACATTTGCCTTGTTGCCTTCACGGAGTCCCATTCATCGAATCAAATGGACTATCACAATGCAGGCAATTTACACAATGTGGACTCGTACTTGTTCCAATGCCAATCTTGATTCCGTGTCTGAAGGCTAGAGGGTCGAGATGTATATAGTCTATATATGGCGGAAAAAAGAAAGCCCCCAAGCCCCCAAGCCCCCAAGCCACCAATGAAACTCCTCGCTAGATAACCATATTCCTACTTCACCGTCTAAGCTGCCCACGCCGTTGGGTGAAACTCCATCAGGCCGTATAACCCGATGACGGAGCCTATAAAAAAAGCCATGGCTCCGTACCAGTACGTGAACCCGGGTCCGTTCGAGTCCCCCGCTAGGGTCAAAAAACCGATTAGGGCGAAGCCGGTCGAGCCCACGATATTCAGAAACGTTCCCAGCCAGTCGGGGGACGTCAGTTTGGGCTTGTACCACTTTTCCTGGATGACAAAGATGACGCTGACGTTGGCGAGGAACAGCAGGATGCCGCCGATGACCTGCTGCGTGGGCACCAGGATCTTCCAGGCGGGCAAGGTCTTGTCCATGACGCCCGGCAGGTTGGAGATGGTGGCGACCAGGAAGAACAGACCGGAGATCCACGACACCAGGCTGGCGGGGAAGGGGATGGACTTGAACAGGGCGGCGAACTCCTCCTTGGTCGGGGCCCACACCCAGCTCTCGGAGCCGATGAGGGCCGGGCGGTAGGTGGCCACGCCGTCCTTCTGGACCTCGACGGTCCCGCGGTTGGCGTTGAAGGCGCCGATCATGCCGAGGACGCCGGCGATGGCGAAGGTGAAGGAGCCGGCGGCGAGGAAGCCGGGGACGGCGAGCGTGCCGATCTCGGGGAAGGCCAGGGCCGGGAACAGCACGGGGACCAGGCCGAACGAGGCGCTCGTGACGAAGGAGGCGCTGCCGAAGACGAACATGACGGTCACGACCCAGTTGATGTCGCGCACGGGGAAGACGGTGAACATGCGCACGACGCGCCCGCGCCCGCCCTCCTCGATCTCAACGTAGAACTTGGCCGGCGGCTTGCCGAGCGAGTCGCCGCTGGCGTTGCTGTTCTTGTACAGGTCCACCGCCGCGGCCGCCCTCTGCCGCTCGAGCTCGCACTGGACCTTGTACGACATGTAGTCGACCACCTGGATGGGGCGCCGGGGCGACTGCTGGCCGTACTCCTCGTCGTACGTCGGGTAGCCGTCGTTGCTGTTGTCGCCCGCCCGGCGGGGCGCGATGTTGCGGCCGTTGGGGAGCGGAGGCACGGGTGCTCGCGGGATGACGGGGACCTGGTACATGGACTCCCGGATCATCGACGCCCGGGCGGCGGCTGCGGCGTTCATGCTGGGCGACGAGAATAGTGGCGAATGACGGACGTTGGCTGGTTGGTTTGTCGTAGTGTCCTTCTACATGCAGCAACAGGGGGGTTGTCGCGCTCGTCGACTCAATCGACGGGAAATCGTACATCAAGATAAAGAAACGGCCTGCTAGAATAGAACGTCGACTCGATCGACGATAAATCGCATACAAAATAAGGAACGTGTTGGCTAGAATTGAACGTCGAGTCGATCGACTGCGGGAGAATCGTGACAAGCAAGGAATGCGTTGCCTCTTCCCGTGATGATCCAGCTAATAATAAGGATGTGCTCTCTGCTCGGTCGGTCCGCCCCGCCCCGGCCGCCCGAGGCCCAAAATTACCGTCAACAGGCGCCTGACGGACGGCATAACTTGACAAGGGGACAGGCACGTTTCAGCAGATCTGGAGCATCAAGCGCTAAAACCCAAGGACTCGGTTTGCGCCAGCAAGACAGAAACGAGATGGTCAGGGGCCCAGACAAGCGGCCCAGGGAGGAAGGAGGCAACTGGCCGTGGAAGCCACCCGACCAGCCTTGGGGGGCTCGCTTCCGACAGTGGCGAGGCGCTTGGCCCCCTGAGAGGAAGACGGGCGCCTGGCGAGACCGGGCATCCCCGGCCAAGGCCCAAAACAGTGGCGGGACCGACCTTGGATGCAGGCACCGCATGAAAAAAAAAAAAATGATCCTCACAAAAAGGGGCCACCACTTCAAAAGCAAATAAAACACCACAAAAAATAGCCAGCGCCTATATTTTATATACAAATTAATGGGCAGTCATTTTCCCCTCGCCTTCAATCATGTTACAGGCCGGGCTGCGGCCCGGCTCCTTGGCGACCGGCTGAAAGTCACACGCACGGGCTGCGGGGCTCAACGCACATAAGCGCGTCGGTTTTTTTTTTTGATAAAAAATTAAATGGGAATTAAAATAATCAACAGCGGCTTGGATACGTGCTTTTTTTTGGGCGTGTTAAGGTGCGTAGGCATTGCGAATTGATTAAATTTATGGGGATCAAAATTTTTTTTTCATGCGGTGGCAGGTTTGCCACCGTCTTAGAGCGTGGTTCCGTTGTAAGTCGGAGAAAAGCGTGGCCGTAGGGGGAGGTGCCACGCCAATACATATACGGAGCTACCTCCTGGTAGACAGCTGCCAAACAAAAGCCAATCTCCGTTGTTGTTTCTGTCGCCATCCTGCGATGCCGCGCGTGTCGATTCGCCAGCAGATTGGTTCTCCCCTGTGCGATGGCCATCCAGGCCCCCGCCCAATGTCCAACAGGCTGTCCGTGCAGCAGCCAGTTGTGCATATTTGGCTTGTTTTGGCCTAGGTCGTACGATTGCAGATGTGCCGGACCCTTATAACAATCCCTCACTGAATTACCTCAAGATTCTCTCTGAGGCTGCCATCCAGGGCCCACGACACAGAGCATGCCATCTGATGTGGGGAACGCGGGGGCTTGTTTGGAACCACCCATGCGGGTTCTGAATCAGCCCAATCAGACGGGCCACCCTCACAGCGGTTGGTCCCGCCGGGTGGAGCACCCAAGATCCAGGCCTGGCCCTGGCGACAGCTCCAGTTCCAACGTCGAGGAATAGGGAAAAAAAGGCAAAAAAAAAAAAGGCGCACATCTCAGGAGTCCATTGCCGAAGTAAATGCCATGGCCGCCCCTGGCCGCGTGGCATGCCGTGCGGCTTTGAGCCCCATGCGACGACGCGCGGAAATCCCTGCCCCGCAGCCTGTCCAACTCTGCCCGCTCGCCGCCGCCCACCACGGGTGCTAGAACAGTGACCCCGGTCAGTCCCTGTGCCGCGGGCGGGCGCCGGGCGCCGCGGAGGGCGTCGTGCAAGGCTCGCCGGGGCGCTGCGGGGCGCTGCGAGCACTGTAAGCACCAGGAGCGCTGAAAGGAGCAATCCCCCGAGTTCCCTTGCTTCCATTGGCCCTTCTTCTCCGGGCCCAACGACGACGCACCAGCCCCTGGGGCTCGGACTCAGATGCAAGGTTCCTGAAGGAGACGATGGCCTGGTGGGCCAATTAAGGTCACACTGTGAGGCCCTGAGGACCCGGTCAGGTGGGAATGCCATCTCACCGCAAGAGATGCATATGTGTGTGATGGATGATGGCGTTTGATTCGACGTCGACCTTGGCGACGTGCCATCTGGATGGGAAAGATCTGCCGAGTCAAGCAGCTGCGTCCAGCTAGACCGCTCATCCATGGCCGCACGACCTCTTTCAACGAACACCCCCACCAGACAGTGAAGGGTCCTGAGCGATGTCACCATGATAAGCCAGTTCCATGGCCACTAGAGGTCCCCGGGAGATGGGATGGGATGTATATAAGTATCCTTGGGATGGCTGTCCAAACAAGCTCGAGAGATGGCTATCTGGTCACTGCTCCAAGCATCCGCATTGCTCTGGCCAATGCGTTGGGACTAGCAGCAGCAGTTTCCAGCTCCCCGGACTCGTCCACGTTGACGTGGATACTCTTTTCTTCAGTTGTGTTTCAAACCGTCCCGCCTTGACTTGGGCAAGCATAAACAACAACAAAAACAAGACACGGCCACACAAACAGACCTCTCCGCACAAAACCATACAACATGGCCAACAATCGTGACCACGAGGAGGAGGTGCCCGGCACCGTCCGCCTCATCGACATCAACGGGTCCAGCGAGGGGGCCCACGACAAGTCCAATGCGGAGATCGTCCTGGTGCCCCGGCCCAGCGCCGACCCCAACGACCCCCTGAACTGGTCCGACAGGCGCAAGCTGGTGACGGTCAGCATGGCCTACCTCTACATCATCGGCACCGGCATCGCCACGTCGCTGCAGTACTCGGTGCTGGCCGACATCACGCGTGACACGGGCATCTCGACGGCCGAGCTGGTCCAGGGCACGGGTCTCATGTTTCTCTTCTTCGGCTGGGCCTGTCTGATCTGGCAGCCCATCGCGCTGACCTACGGCCGCCGCGGCGTCTTCCTCGTCACCATGCTCCTGACGGTCGCCATGATGGAGTGGACGGCCCGGTCGTCGACGGCCCAGGACTGGATGGCGCACCGCATCCTCATCGGCGTCATCGTCTCGCCCATCGAGTCGCTGTGCGAGGTCACCGTCTTCGACATGTACTTTGCCCACAACCGCGGCACCTACATGGGCCTGTACGTCTTCATCCTGTTCGGCTCCAACTTCCTGGCGCCCCTGGTCGCCGGCTGGTTCAACGACGCCTACGGCTGGCGCTGGACCATGCACCTCGGCAGCATCATCTGTGCCGTCTGCTTCGTCGTCATGTTCCTCTTCATGGAGGAGACCATCTACTTCCGCTCCGACGACTACATCGCCAGCGACCAGAGCTCCGTCGTCGACCTGGCCAACGAGAAGGAGAAGGAGGCCGGCGCCGTCAAGGCCTCCGAGGTTCCCCCCAGTGCCACCACCGGCTCGACCTCGCCGCCCAACATCAACGCCGGCCTGGGCAAGTACACCTTCTTCAAGGCCCTGCCCGGCCGCCCCAGCAACGTCGAGATGCTCAAGATGGTCTACCGCCCCGTCGTCATGATCGTCAAGCTCCCCACCGTCGCCTGGTCCGGCTTCCTGTACGGCATCAACCTGTCGTGGTACATGGTCCTCAACGGCACCGTCAGCCCCGTCCTGTCGGCCCCGCCCTACAACTTCTCGGCCGCCCTCGTCGGCTCCGTCTACGCGGGCCCCATCATCGGCGCCGCCGCCGCCTCGCTGTGGTCCGGCAACGCCGCCGACTGGCTCGCCCTCAAGCTGGCCTGGCGCAACGGCGGCGTGCGCGAGCCCGAGCACCGCCTGTGGGTCCTCCTCCTGGCCGCCATCGTCTCGTCCGCCGGCCTCATCACCTGGGGCGTCGGCGCCTACCACGGCGTCCACTGGGTCGGCCTCGTCTTCGGCCTGGGCATGCTCACCTTTGGCGTCGTCACGGGCGGCTCCATCGCCGTCAGCTACAACGTCGACTGCTTCAAGGAGATCGCGGGCGAGACCACCGTCTCCGTCATGCTGATCCGCAACACCATCGGCTTCGGCATCAGCTACGCCATCACCCCGTGGTGGACCACCCAGGGCCTGCAGAACTGCTTCATCACCGCCGCCATGATCTCCATCGGCTGCACCATGACCTTCCTGATCTTGACCTTTTACGGCAAGCGTATCCGCAGGTGGTCCATCCCCGCCTACAAGGCCTTTATGGCCAGCACCGTGGTGTCGCAGGAGTAAAAAAAAAAAAAAAGGGTTGGGAAAGGACTGCCGGCCAGTTGCCGCCATACTGGGAGTTACCAAAATGGGAGGCGCTATTGTGTTCAAGTCGGGTTAGTCGGTACAGGGGACGAGGAGAATTCTGCCAAATCAATGTATCGCAGACCCCTCTGGAGGGCTCCGCACTTTTAACGTTTAATATCCTAGTCCCCTGTATTTAAACCGCATCTAGGATCAAAACCTAGACTTTGCCATGTACTAAAGCTTGCCCATGTGATTGATGACTGCCTGCGTGACTCGGCAATCCCCAAAAAGACGAACGAACCAATGGCTCACGACGGCTCTTGTGATGGGCTGGGGGGAAGATCATCTCTCTCGCCCGCGCGCGTTCTGAACCACCCAAGCGCAACACAACCACCGCCGGCCGGCGAGGTCCGCCGCGCCACCAGTCGCCCCCGTCCGCGTGACCGCTGGCGTCAGCGCTAAGGCCTGCAAGTGGCGGCATGCATGCTCTCTGCACGACGTGGGCAAGGATCTATATGGCCCAAACCCGGGTTTTCTCTCGCCTTGGCAAAGGTGACTGACTCGACCGAAACTGCAGTGCCGGGTTGGCACCAATCTTCACCCGGGACCCGCCGCGCGCTTGATGGGGTGGAGATTGCACTGAACAAAGGCGTTTGTGCCCCGCGCGCAAGACCGCCGCCGAGGTGGGTAATTGCAACTTGCGCTCGGCGGATCGGCGCTTTCATACCGGCGCGGGGGCTTTTGAGGCGGGAGAAAGCAGGGCTACAGTATTGATGTTTATCAGGTGCTGCCTGTGGATCGGCGACGGTAGCGCCTTGTCTGTGGAAATGTTGTTTTTAACTCATCGGCTAGTAGCACGGGAAACGGGAGGTGCGGGCTCAGCCGCGCACGCCCGGGTGGACAGCGCCGGGTTCCAACGGCTCAGGGGTCACCCCTGAAAACCCTAACCCGCTCTGACACCAACTATAGGTTCCAGGGATCACAAGCACTAGTGCGGTGGAGCAAGATACATTTTTTTCCTGAGAAAACCAAGCCAAACTGATGTACCACCAGGATCCACCGTACTAAGGTTTGTGATCCCTGGGACCTGCACAACATCATCCACGGGACAATCACATTACATCGCAGAACAAAAAGACAAGTAGGTAGGCAACAGAGATACGCACAGAGGTGAGCTATGGGTATTGCAGGATAAACAGAGCAAAAATCACGTGTTAAAAGAAGTCCCAGCATAACCCGAGAAGGAAGAAAGGGGAGGAGGCACATACGCCCACAAGGAAAACAAAGGCAAAAACGACGCGCGCTAGGAATAGAAAATGACAAGGTCAAATCAAAGAAAGCCAAAACAAGCCAGGAGGGAACGTTCGTTAAGGAAAGGAGGAGTGGGCAAAATGTGGAAATAAATGCA